AAATGTTTTTTTTATCCATTTGCACTGTATTCACTTGATATGTTGGACTGGAGAGAAACGTTTTTTCAACTCCTCTGTATGTTCGGTACATATTGTGGAATTGACAATAAAGCTAACTTTGAACACTGCTACTTCTTCACATTATTTTTAACATTTTAGTTATTTTTGTTCATGTTTTGACTCAAATTCTGGTCAGATCTTACAGGTTGCACCTTCAGGCATAGTCCTGTCTAGGGATGACGCCCTGAAACTTGGCTCTAGACAGCAATCGGTTCCAAGTGAGTAAAAACTCAGAGTGTTGATGCGGTCCAGAGTTTACGCTTCTGCTATCGGTACTTTAGAAGTTCCAGTGATGCCCTCGTCTCAAACCTCCTCTCTCGGTATCTTTGTGCTTTACTCTGACACACACCGACTCCGGCTCAGTACAGTGTGAGACACACATCATGGCAGAGAGAAGAAAAAGATCCAAAGTGTGGCTACATTTTACTCCAGTCGATGCTGAGAACTCTCGTTGATACAAATGCAATAAAAAGGGAGGTAATAACAGTAATATATTACAACATTTGGCTTACAAGCAGAACATAAATCTGCAGAAATGCTCAGTTTTCTACCGATTGTGGAGCAGCCGTCCATCCTCGTCCACTGTAGGTAACGTCAGTGATGCCATACAGAGTAGTAAGAACAGGCTAATAAATGAAAGATAATTACTAATTGTTTATCTGCAAATGTATTTTAATGATTTTGGAACTTCTTGTATTGCTGCTAAAGAAAGACTATTTGTTTAAATACAAGAATAATAAAGCAATGTGGATTCTTTTCTTAATTAATTGTCTTTTTTTCTCACAATATCATCAAAAAGAACTGATAAGAGTATCGATAAGGAACCGAACCAATAAGCTGAATCGTGGAGCACTATTATCGATAAAATCCTAACAATACCTATCCCTAGTCCCGTCATTTATATGAAAATGTGAATTATTGCAGCTTTAACTAGCATAGGCACAAGTTACAGTACATGTTTACTCACCCATCTGTTGAAGGCATCAAGCACCTCTTTCTCCCCAGCACAGTAACCTTCCCCTGAGCCCCCACTGGATGCTATGAACACAAAAAGGGAAATGGCGACTAAAGTAAGAATACGACAATGTACTATGATTATTTAGTTTATAGTGACATTATTATCCCGATATCTCAATAACCTCTAAATTTCGTTCTTATCTTTGGGCATTCAAGTACATTTTTGAGCATTTGGGAATAGTATGTGTAACAAAATGAAAAGGCTCAAAAGGTCAACTTAGCTTGACTGAGCTTCAACTGAGCTTTCAAGCGTCTTGTGGTCTTCTAAGCTGAAGACTACACCCGTGGCCAAAAGTTGAGAATGACACAAGTATTGGTTTTCACAAAGTTTGCTGCTTCAGTGTTTTTAGATATTTTTGTCCGATGTTACACTGAAGTATAATTACAAGCATTTCATAAGTGTCAAAGGCTTTTATTGACAATTACATTAAGTTTATGCAAAGAGTCAATATTTGTAGTGTTGACAAAGAAGTCAAGAAGTCAAGAAGCCTACACAATATGCAACATGTTATGGCTGAAGATCGGGACAGACAGGACCACCAGAATCATATGACTGATGTTCCATATTTAGGTCATGTGATGACAACAAAGCTAATGATGACCTTGAGACCCGATTGAAAACTAGTAAATGGACCTTTGAGCTAATAATATCTTATTACTTTAGGTTTTAACAGCTAACATGACAATAAATAAGGTCAGCATCGATGTCCGGTTTGTTTGTGATTGACAAACAAACAGTCTTCATGAACATTGGCTCATTATTTTGGGTCCAGGGAGTGTGAACCTTACCAGAACTCATTTCCTGGGGAAACCTGAAAAGCACCACAGGAGAGCTGAGTTCATCCTCCACCTGTTGGACAAACAAAGACAAGGTGAACATTTGATGCTCAGGGATCGTTATCCTCATACTTAACCAGTGATCTGCTCAATGACATGCACAACTATTACCATCAGTTGAAAGGGTGCAATGTTGAATTTGCTTTGTGTCCATGCCTACTGAAGCTACTACATGTAATGTCAGTGGTGATTGTAACTGTACGACACATATTTGTTGTTTGATTTGTCAAACTGGTCATTATGGAAGTGATCGAGTCCTTGCCTCTCAGTGCTATGGAGCAGCTAATACCCAACTACTCCATTATTACTGTAAACTCTTTCAAAAGAAAGTCTATGAACCATGCACCCAGGGCACTGATGCAGGCAGCACCTGGACATGTCTGTGTTTCTGACTGTGTCACCCAGAGTTGGTGTCACCTGTTAAGCATTACTTTGTTTTTTTGGGTCAAATTGTGCTATGCTATGCCATTTAACCAGAATACAATTCTGCAAACAAATAATGTCAGTGAAGTTGCATGTGGTGCATTTCTGAACCACTAAGACAGGAAACAAACCACAGTGAAGCCCATTGTTGATGACATTCAGGTGAAAAGTTAAGAAAAGCATCATGCCTGGGTGGGGCTGAGATGAAGGCTAGTGTGTCTCGGGTGTGGATGCGAGGGTCATGAATAATCCACGAGCATATGGGGTGTTGTCAAGTTAGAAAACCAGAAAAATGACTGTAGTATGTTCGATCCATAAATAGGGAAATGGCTCTGCACCCAGGACAGGTTTCAAGGCTTCAACATGCTTCAGGCCCAGCGCTTGTTGCCGTCTGAATCCCACCCAGGCATCGGTTGGCCAGGTGTGTGGAGTTGTAAAAGTAGGTAGAATTTGAACTGCTCTCTTTTTCATTCTTCACACTACCACAACTACTACTGTCACCTTTTGTGTGAAGGTCTACATTCCTTGAATGCCTTCAAGAAGACACTGTCTGGAAATGTGTGCTGTTTATACCAGCTTGCCCTTCTCTAGGATGTATTCTTCAAGTGTGGCCACTCAGAAGAGGTTGTAACACTTTTGCCTTTGGATGTGGACAGCGGACACATTGTGACCTAGTTCATTTGAATCATACTGAGGGTTTTAATTCATCTATCAGAGAAACTGTTGGTGGGCTGATGTACATGCACCAGCTCCAGGGTTTCCTCCTTTCAGTGGGCGACCCACAAACCAGAGGGGTGAAGAGGGGTCAAATTAAATTAGAACTGGAATCAAAAGTATAAAACCACAGGAGAAAACCAGCATTACAGGAGTTGTGTCGGAGCAACGGGCACAGCTAAAACTGATTGAAGTACACAGCAGCCCATACATACAAGCGGTAAGATGTTTTCAACCAAGCAGGAAGAAGAGACATCAGCTCAGACAAAGAACTGTTAAGCAAGAAAAGAGCAAACAGATCACCAGATGGGATGCCTCTACTTGTGCTATGACTTGTGCAAACACTATGACTGTGTTGCTCAAACAGAAGAAAGGTAGAGCTCATGGTTAACACAATTGCTATGACATCATAACTATGATAAAAAGTGAAGTTCCTCTTTTTAACCACACCAGAATCACAACCATTCCAACACAATTAAGGTTAGTCTTAGACCAGATACCGGTGATCATTAAATAGTTGTTTCTTCAAACTAGTATCAAGAGGATTGCCATGGATTCCATGGGCCTGGTCTACTACAACATTCACTGCTAAAGATTAGCTGTACAAACAAAACACAGCCCACAGAGAATGAGCTCATTATAGCTGCATTTCACATTACTTGAAGTCAGCTGACAGCCAGTATAGGTTGCTTTGGACTTAAACATGTCAGGAGTCAGCATTGATTAGCAGCATTGCTCCTTCATGCGGAAAAGAGCCAGTTGAGGTAGTTGGGGCATCTGATGAAGTTACCTTCAAGACACCTCCTTGTGGTGTGGGCAGAGACCCGGGGAAGACCTAGAACATGCTGAAGGGACTGTACAGTATATCCCAACAGGCATGAGATGAAGAACATGGCTAAAGAAGAAGAAATTTAGACAGCTATGCTTCACCTGCTGCCACCGTGTCAAGGACAAGCAGTGAAAATGTGTTTAGACTCAATGGTCAGTGAATGTATCGGAACACTAACTACATAAAACATTTTAACAAGACTAAGAATCTGTAACCACGCTAGCAGGCCTGCTAACATGGTAACATCTGCATGCTAACATGCTCACAATGACAATGTTAACATGCTGATATTTAGCAGGTATGCTGACCATGTTCACAATCTTGTTAAGTGTGCTCATGTGCACATTTGGTAATAAACCAAAAGTATTGGACAGAGTTACATTTTGACCTGATAATGGCGCTAGATGAAAAGTCAGTGAATGACAAACATTATTACAATTTATCCTGTTGGGAACATACATGCATGTACAAAGTTTCTTTGCAATCCATCCAGTGGTTGCTGAGATAATTCTATCTGGCCAAAACTGGTGGCCTGACCGACATCTGTCAGTAAGGACCGACAGACGTTACCGCCCCCAGCTTGTTTTAGGAAGACAACACAACTTCTGTCTTCTAATGAATCCGCAAGAAGATCTTTTGTCCACATAACTCTAATTGAGTGTCATTACTGTTAATATTTCATCTTGAAATATTTCAGGATCACTCTTGTTTTGAGTGTTAGAGCAAGCAACTTTCTTTTTCAAAAGGATAGTATAAATATTCAGATTTAAGAGTTGTTATTTGTGTAAGAGGACTTGATTTATAACAACCTATACAGCTGCACTGATGTCATCTCCATCCTTTCTAACCAGGTGTACAGATGTCAATGAGCACAACAGATATATTTGAATCATTAACTAATAACAACTCGGAGATAGGCGCTGTGATTCAGAAGAGCAGAGCCAGCTAGGGTTCAATGAAATAGTATAAAACCCTGAAATGTTCTTTTCGGATTTGTGGACCGTTTTGTAAACTAAGCTGATGGACCTGGGACCCAACACCTCCCCCTGTGCTTGGATCCTGAAATTTCTGACTGCCAGAACTTAGGTGGTGAGTCGCACTTCGAAGCCATCATCTTCAACATTGGTGTCCCCCAAGGTTGTGTACTCAGCTCCCTGCTGTACTCAAGTTACACGCATGTGGTCAGAAACAGCTCCAACTTCATCATCATGTATGCTGATGACACAGTCGTGTCCACAACAACAATAAGGCCTACCTGGAAGAAGTAGCTAACACTATGGTGCCAGGCCAACAACCACCTACTGAACGTCAGCAAAACCAAGGAACTAGTTGTGGCTTTTAGGAGAAAGCAGCAGAAGAGCTCCACACCCCAACACCCTAGGACACAAGGGCGAGCACCTTAAGGTACCTGGGAGTCCCCCTCACACATAATCTGACATGTTCACATATTAGCTTAAGAAAATCAAAGTCTGTCCGACCCTGTTCATACCTGGCAATAACATGCGTCTCAGGTGACAGCTTAAAGTACAGGTGTGAATGCACCAAAGACGCATGTGAGGACACATTGAGATCCAATCACTCAGACCACATTCCGAGGTCGCCACATTTTTTTTTAGCACTGTAAGTGAATGTGTCCTGGTAAAGACCGCCTACTCAACAGCCAAGCAATGGACCAGGTGTGTATTGTCTTGATTTCTTCTTTATCTTTCTCGGCAGACTTGGCACAGGAAGTGCATTTCTTCTTCATCTTCTTCGGCTTTACTGGCGTATCACATGCAAAGTGCATTGTTGCCTCACGCTGGTTAGCTCGTTTAACCCAGCAGGCTAAACAACAATGTATTTAGTCTTTGCAAGCGGAAATGATGTAAATGTTTGTTTGAATACAGAGCTGGGAAGTGAGATCTGATCACAAGTGGTCACCAGCTCCAGTAACATACTCTAAGATACATGTTAATGTCAGCTGTGTTCAGGGCATTTGGGAGTCCTAAAAACCTTCCACTCTGCTGCTGTGGAAAGCATTTTAACAGGGGGCATCACCAAGAGGTATTTGGATTTTAAACAAAAGGAAGTAATGAAATGCAACAGCACATGACCCATTATTAATTATTTATGACCCTTGTATTTCTTCCAAAGGCAACAAAACATAATGACTGGGGAGAGGCATTCCCTGAAGTACCTCAAAGAACATGCTTGAGTGGTCCACATCCTAAACAATTAGGAAGAAGTGAACAGTCCATCAGCCAATGGAGACCCAAATACCGCTGAGCTGATGTGAGTGAAGGAAAATGGTCAGGAGTGACAGGAAGAAAGAAGAGGACGAGAAGGGAGGACAAAGGGGAAGGGGGAGTAGGGGAGACAGGCAGAGGCTTGGTCCCACCTACAATAGAGAGCATGAGAGAGCCCAGAACGTCCCGGAGTGAAGCCCCGGAGATGATCGGTGACACCACACCCTGGAATCAAGGCAACCCACACTGACTATAACTACAGTTATACACACACACATACAGCAATAGATTCACATATGGACCTGTGCTCATACACAGTCACATCTTACTCACACAGTGGTACTTTAAACTCAAACTGGAGCATCTTCACAGTGAATGCTGCTGACCATGACCAAACTGAATTCCATCCTTCTTTTAACGAGCACCTGTGAGTTTGAGTACCACAGTGTAATGATCCTGATCCCCAACACTCTGATTGTTCACTGCATATGTATTACAGTTGTGTTAATGTACAACGCTACTCATCCCAGCTGGGGAGTATTCACATCACATCTCAGTGACTGTATGGCTGCAGTATGTGCCTTTAGTGTATCCCAGCGAACAATCTTTGAAGCAAAGTCTGTACCCCTGAGAGTGTTTTAGTGTCAAAAACAACTCTGGTTTTACCATAGTCAAAGCCTCGATGAGAGAGATCTCTGTCTGAAGCACATCCTATCAACACACATGGAACAGCTGGAGGTCATTTTTTCATGTCATACATGTTATTTATGAATACATGGAGAGGCGTCGACCCTTGTATCAAACAGAAACAATGTACCTCAGCTGTCCATCATGCAAATAAGATTATTAATTAACCAACATTTCTATGTCAATATATGTGTTTGAATTTCATGTGGGTGATGATAATATAAGATCAGATCATAAGTTGTGCCAAAATCTAATCAGGTCCTCTAGCATTTAGTGGGAGTAAATATAATATTATGCTCTCCAATTAATGTTTTTAGGTCTACACAGAGACAAATGGTGGTGTGGTGGGGCTGAAAAGGTAGGGCTAAATGTTTTTATTTGGTCTTATGTATATAAACTATTTAACATGTGTATACATTTTCAGTAACAAATGCATAAGTTGTGATTTAGCTACTCAAGATAATATAAGGTGATGTGGAATTGGCAGTAAAATGGACAGGAACAAACTCGCTCTTCTCCCGATTTAGAGATAAGGCCTATTGTACCAAATGTGAAGCCAAAGTCGGATATCAGCACAAATCTGAGAATCTTTTTTATGATGGCTGTCATGTAAAAATATATTCTATACTTTGATCATCATACCTAAAACGTCCTGTTTCCTGAACACTGGCCTTTTTCAAATCCCAGGTATGTAGCAGTAATCAAAACCAGGCAGAGCAGCATGTAGAGGTCAGTGCTGCGATAGGTGACTGCAGCTCCATCACATACACAATGGGGCTCTATTTTTACTGAGGCATAATGCAAAGTCTAAGGTGAACACAGAAATATCCCTTTGTGGATATTTTTTGGTGAGTTACAAACAGTAACTGCACATACTGTTATCACTTCCCTCACAGTGGGGTATCGCTGACTTGGTTTGTGCAGGTTCTCACAAAAACTCTGTTCACCTTTTACTGTGGTAAACATTCTGCTATTATTCATGGTCCATAGAAAGAACACATACCGATGTTTTGATGGAGGCCAGAGCTTTTAGTTTCTGCAGGAGTTGCTGGCTCTGGAGGGGAGAGAGATAAAGGTGAAACGACTGACTTTCCACCAAAGAAAAGAATAGGATTTTATTGCTCAACTTCATAATATGACACCTGTGTGCCACATTTCATTTATACCAACATTTAAATTGGTTAAACATTTAAAAAAAAAAAAAAAAAAAGGTTTGTTGGGAAACACATTTACATATTGAAATGTAAAAAAGTCAGTTTTTGGTTAAGTGGGAGAGATGCTCACCAGAGCGGTAGCATGTCTGATCTTCTGGACGATTCCACTGTGACCGAGGTACTGCAGCGAGAGCCACAGAGGCAGCGCTCGCAGCTTGGCCACGGGCTGGCTGGAGGTCAAACCTGCTGCCAGAGACTGAGACACAAAAGATAGAGGAGCAGTGAGTCATCCAACTATGAAGCAAGGAATATGTGTGTGTGTGTGCGTGTGCGTGTGTGCGCGTGTGTGTGTGTGTCCTTCGCATATCTCGACAACCGTGTTACAAAAGTGTTACGGTTGGTGCAATTTGGACAGGTGACATGTTCAATATGAATAAACTCTTAATAAACAACAGACAGCGCTCTGTGTAGCAGTGGGGGCGGGGCTTCAGGGCTCTGCTGACTAAAGGTCAGCACTGGATCTGTTGACATATGTGAAGTTGACAGATCCTTGATCCGGGCACGCATTGCATGATGGATACAGCTTGGCGAGTTGACTGACTATTCGCCGTATCTGAATTTGTATAAATCAACTCAACCTCATGCAAATGAGGTCCGTCCATCACAACGCACCAGGCTCACGAAACTTAGATCAAACTGTGAAGTTAGGCAGCGCTGATCAAACATCAAGATTCTGCCAATGTATTGCCTATTCTGGCTTTACATGATTTCAGAAACATATTTTAGTTACTGTTTAGCTGTAAAATGACAAAGTTAGTGACCATCACTGGCCGGCGCAAACTCGCCCATAAATCAGAACATTTGGGTTCCAGCACGCCTTTCTGTTTGTTGACTGGAGTTAGTGAACCTCCACCCACTTTGCCAAAGGCTCAATAGCTGGTGCACAATCATAGAACATGAGGATAATTGATTCGTTTCACTGAGGCTTTTGCAGTTGGCCTTGGGTCGGAACAAAAAAAGATATGAGGAAGTCGTTAGTAGACTTAGAGGGAGAGCACTGGCTTGTCAGAAACATAAATGAAATGTTAGTATGCAACAAAACTCCATTTCAATCCTCGTAGGCACTCCTTGCCCAAAACGTTCCATCAGGCCGAGCACACCCAAAGAGCAACTTGGCACCTCATCCCTTAATTCCTAGCGTCGTCTCCTGAAACACTCCAACATCACAGCCCCAGTTACACTGTGCATGTGTCAAAGCCCATAGCTCCTATGGGGTCAGAGACCGTGTCTCAGCCTTCATTTAATAGCCTTGTGACCGATGAACGGTTCTCAATAACGCTGCAAGCACGCTTCTGGGGGCCAAGCAATCGGCCCACACCCCAAACAGGCACGGCACTATTTTAGAGAAAGACAAAGACAGTGTCATTGAGAGCTAATCGCAATACAACTAATGAAACCTTTAGAACAAATCTTAACTTGGGTACTTCAAGTTAAAGTTGGACTGTAAGTGGAAAATAGTTTTGGACGACCAAAAACTTCCACAAACCTCCAACAACACGTATCACTGTGTTGAATCAATTTGTATGAAATGAGATGAGCCTACCAGTGCAGGGTCTTCATGTCTGTAGAGGGTGACAGCAGTAACAGCAGGGAGTCCCAACCACTGACCTGGTGTCAGTGTCATACTGTCACTCCTGCTGGCTGCCTGGAGGAAAAAGAACAACGTTCACTGATAAACACACGTCACAAGAGAAAGTCAAATATAAGATGGCTTTTCCTGAGTGTCTGGCTCCTACAGTCAAAATTAGTAGCTCAGAGTGGACACTCTTCAACACTGCCATCTCTCGGTTTCAGGTTTTTTACACTGTGCACATGTGCTTTTACCTCCTTTCAGATGTGCTATTTGTCACATTGCTGGCTTCATTAATCTGTAAAAGTGATGAGTTTTTGTTCTGTCATAAGCTGACACAGCGCTGGGTTTTGAAATTAATTTAGCATCTTAACACTTGATGGAAATGTTCACATTTTTTCAGGTTTCTCTTAAAACAATATTCACATGCGTATGTAAATAGAGGTTTTGGTCCCTCTTCCACCTATCCATATTGGCTTCCTAATGTGATTCCAATGTGAGTAATGGAGGACAAAGCCCACAGTCTTGGTTTGTGTCTGTGGATCAACAATTAGGACCATTCATCCTTTCAATGGACATAGAGCATGTCATTAGCATTTTAAGATAGACGTATTCAAATGTGAACCTGTCCTTTAATCAATGAGCATGGTGAAGAACAGGACGTACTGTACATTGAACACGTCTGTCATTTTACCATTAGCTTACCATGATAGCAGAGGTGACCTGACCCAGTGCCAGGGTTGCCAGGTTGACCCTGAAGAAGAAAACACAACAGCATGTTAGAAGTGAACGTTACAGCAGTGATTTCCACAGGTTTTCTGACAGTAGACTTGTGTACGCCACAACATATACTACGACATATATACAAATATATTTCACACAACAGCTCCCTTTTAAAGTCTGTGTGTTTGAGCGAAACCACAGTGAAAACCACAGCATCACGTTCCATTTAACATAATCATCTTATCTTTAATATCATAATCCAAGTCATATCCACAACGTTAACTACTCTTATAGAGCACATAGCAAAGTTCTGGTGAGCAGGCAGATGGAGAACAGAGGTGTGCATGCCCTCAATCGTCAATGTACGATCAGCACACTGAGTATTTCTGTGAGTTCATGTTAAAAATAAGGTGCATAAATCACAACCATATAGTGCAGAGAGTTAAAGAATTGACCCACCCCTCCACATGGAGCCACATGTTGTACTGATCACACAGGTCCTTCAGACGAGCCAACTTGTCTGTATGTCCTGCCCCAGGGGTACCTGGGAAAAAAATCAGCAGTAAGAAAGTCTCATAAGCAAGTAATTTGCCTCTCAATGAATATATTCAGTACCACCTGTGTACAGAGTGAAACATAAAGTGTCTGAACTGTGATTATCCATCACCTGCGTTGGCGATCAACAGCAACGGAAGCTTTCCGGTTTCTATGTCCTCCTTGATTAGTTTGTCCAACAGGGCAACATCCTGACAGACAAACAGGATACGAGTCAAAACTAATTATCTTCAACTATCTGAAAGTTTGTTTTCAAAGTGATTTTCATTTGGATTCTTTTACCATTTGGTGCTGGGATCCAAAGATGGTGTTGCATGGGACTGTACACAGACTAGAGAGAGGCAGGCCGAGCTGATGACACAGAGACTAGCATTAAAATAACGCTCATGTTCTATTGTGTATGCAGCTGGATAAAATACAGTGTAATCTGCATGACTATATAATACTGAATACTGAAAGCAGACACTTTGAAACTATTACAGTCATAGATTTAGTGTGCAAATGTCTCAACAATACTAGTTGTGCTGCTAAAAGGATATTTGTTAAATACCTTACTTTGTTGACATTCAACAGAGACCGTCTGCAGGTAAATAAGGAGCCCGTGTGGAATCTTTTCTTTTTAAAGCCCCTTCAAGTGTACAATTCCAATATTTCTAAAATCCCAGTGGTAGCATAGGAACACACAGGGTCTTTAACCGTCATCATGCGAGAGTTTGTGTTCCGCCCCTCCTACCTGGCTGCACAGATGCTGCCCCAGTCCAGACCTGCCGGAGGCGCTCTGGTAGATGACGGGCTGTCTGGAGCAGAGGACTGAATAGCCCTCAGAGGCATATTCCTCATAACGGGCGTTAATGACCAGCCGGCACACTTTGACTAGGCCGTCCCGGTCATCCTCATGGAAGTAGGCTGAACCGTTCTCATACCTGAGGGACAGTGAGAATGGAGAGTACTGAGAGCAGAAAGCTCCACCAATATGTTGAGTTGTAATACAGTGCCAAAGACAACAACTGGTACAACTACAGAATCTGAGATTTAGCATTGTGTATTACTGATTACTTTTCTACTATCTAATAATAACAATGCTGTGAATGAGACCTAGATGTATTACATAGGCCAACAGACCGTGGAGAACCTTTCACCTGCTGGTGCTTACTGTGTGATGATGAACACAAGCAAAGTATGAGTGATCAGTTTAGATCCTAAGCTGTACTGGGCTTGTAGCCACAGGTCTACCTGAACAGTCTGCAGAGCCACAATGTGGTGTCAGACAGGATCCGAGTGGTCAGCTTCCTCAGTCGCTCTCTGTCCAACACGGAGATGTAGGCGGCCAGGCTGTGACCCAGCAGGGCCATGTGACCCTGTTCACCCACATGCTGCATCCTACTGGAGACAAAGAGCAGCTTCATCACACACCGTATTCCTCCATTCCATTATTTCCATGGAGGAGTAACTGTTCTCTGATTCAAGAAAAACTACATTAGCTGTAGTTGTAACAGTTCTTCTTCCTTCTACCGATCAGGCCAGTCTGGCCTTGGTTCATATCAGCTTGAGCCATGCATGTACTGATTTTATGATGAGGAACTAGACGCCTGACAAGATTCATGACACCTTAAAAGGACTAAGATCATCTTACTCATAGCTACATATTAGGGTATGGATTTGGATTCAACATGACACTACATGGTTCATTTGGAACAGTTGAGGTACAAAACGCTGACAGACTATCCTCATGTATTGTTGCTCACTGATGAGTTCTACTTACTGTTGACTGGGCATGTCCTCCTCCTCTTCCTCATCATGAATGAGGTTGTGAACCAGGTGCAGTATAGTGGCAACATCCTGACCGCTGCACAGGAGACGCAAAGGAACAAGTGATGAGCATCAGCTCTTCAACTCTTCTCAAAATAACTTTAAACTCTTCCCACGCACACAATTTCCACACTTGGTATCAAATATCATCGTCAACACACTGACAACTCCTCCTCCATCACTAAATACATCTATCCAATAAACAGACTTATACATATTGCTCAACGAGCTCCAAACTGACCGAGAGCCATCCAGTTCTCCATTGACTCCAATAGTAACTGCCCCAAAACATGTCTCAAGGAAAACAGAAGCCTAATACAGCAGAAATTGCGACAAATATTTCATAGACGTGTTTTCAGAAGAGTCTGCTCTGACTGACTGTGAAGCATCCTCTAAATAATGAGCAGGAGACAGAGTGCTGTGTCGAAGGTTACTGACCTAGAAGTGACTCAGAACACACTGCTGCGTCAAATTGTGGTAAGAAAACGATATGCCGTTGAACGTTTAGGAAAAGCTAGCATGTGAAACGTATAGGACCTTAAGTTGATACTGTTGTTTATTGATTCATTGGGCCTCATGCAGGAGGCAATATACAAACAAGTGTCCTCTTATCTGTGTACGTATTCATGATTTGTTTGTATTTTGTTAGTCCCCACTGATTTCTGTCATTGACTTTTTGTTCTTCTCTTAGCTCAGAGAAAATGTCACTCGTGGTTCAGAGCCCTTTTACCAAGAATAGAAAAAACATCTAGTCTTCTCAGACTCAAATCCTTTTTTCCAACACAAGAATATTCAAAGGAGACTTAAAGACCTGCATAACCAGAAAGGGATAATGTGTGTGTGTGTGTGTGTGTGTGTCTCTTACTCTCCCTGCAGGGGTCCAGGGATGCTGCTTCTGCTGAAGCGCCACTTCTCTGGTCCCGTCTCTGGCTCTCTAAACAGATGCACAACAACACAGACTGTAATGGATGATGTTGCTTTCTGTGCTCATTGGTTAGAACAGGGGTCGGCAACCTTTTATATCCAAAGAGCCATTTTGCCCTATTTTCCACCAAATAAAATTCGTCTGGAGCCGCAAAAGCTATTTGATATCACAACTTATAAAGTTTTATATATGGTCATATTATATGTACAAAAACTATAGTTTGTTGTATTTATGAAAATATAGAACAAGAATAAAGACAATTCTTGACATTTTATTGCAATTTTACCTGTTAGAACAATATCAAACTCTTATGAAGAGTTTGCTGCAGCAGTTGAGAAATCATCTCCAGCATGACACTTTAGCAAATGCTGTGTGATTGTTCTGGAAGCATACAGGTAAGTCAGCATCGTTGGCAGTGAAAGCAAATGAAGACGTCCACGCAGAGTAAAACTCTGTATTTTCCTCCGTGACTTTTCTTTTTTTGGATTTATCCATTGATAGTTTACCGAGGGCGGGGGTCTGAAAATCATGGTTAGCCGTTCGCAGGGAAAAGCGCTTGACAGGGGTAGAGGATTTAACTGCCTGTGGGAATAATAAAAATATAAGATTCTGTTCATTCTTGCTCATAAATTATATTCTCTCTGAACACGTTTCTCTTTTTGGAGAACGTCATGTGAGATAACGCAATTCTCCTGCTCTTCTTTCTATTTCCTCGTCTTAGCCCCGTGTGTCACGGTGTGTGTAAACCTCACTAGAGTCTGGAAACTTGTCAGAATGCCCATATTTGATTGGCTGAGCTGCATCACGTGATGTGATTGACAACGCATTGGTCGGTGTGTTTCATGCACCGCCGAACAAGTGCTGTAACGGCTGAATAAGAAGCGCCGGTTAAAGTACAAACTCAGTGCATAATATGTATAATTCCGAATTATCAATCGGGTTTAGGTCCTGGGTCCGGATCCGGTCTGTCAGTTGGGGACCCCTGATGTAGACTCAGGGAGCCGCAACAGAGGAGCTGAAGAGCCGCAGGTTGCCGACCCCTGGGTTAGAAGTTCAACATACAGATACAGTTGTGTGAAAAAGTGTTTGCCCCCTTCCTGATTTCTTATTT